CCTAACAAACAGAAAGAAAATGGATATGTTGAACGTATTGATACAAGGAGTCCCACAGATAATAGCTAACAAGAAGCGATCGATTGTACCAGAGATCTGTGATCCAAGTTGCGTTGATTTTATTTCAAATCGGTACAATAGTGTATCTAACTTCTGTTAAATAGTAACATCAACATTGATCGATTTAGTCGATTTGACTACCACTGTTCAATGTTTATGAGCTGACTGAACATGTGGCGTAAGTCCTGTTTTTTTTCACAGTGGAACTAACAAACTTGGCTATTTATTAGTGAAATCAACCTATGGTGACCGCCAGTCAACTAGAAACGGTCCACAATGGAAGCCCTAACCCTGCCGAATAACACTAGACTTTATCTCTAATTTCAACCTTAGCCCTATTAGCACAAGAGCCTCGTGAAATCAGCATTTTACTGTTCCCCAAGTGAAGTGAGCATCCCTGCGGTCATGCATTGACATGAGCGCAACATTTTACTGTTTTTGAAGTAAAATCGACATCTTAGCGCCTGCCCATTGACGTCAAAGCAACATTTTATTGCTTTTAAGTGAAATCAACATCTTTGCGCTCACCCGTGGATATGTGAAATCAACATTTTACTGAAATCAACATCTTTGCGGTCGCGTATTGACGTGAAAGCAACATTTTACTGTTTCTTAGGTGAAAAAGAAGAAAACATGTTTGCGGTCGCACGCTGATGTGACAACAAATACGAGGGTTTTTTGCCTGCGTTACGTCTCGAAAACGAAGCAAAATTCAGCAAACAAAAATACAGGTCATTATTTAAGACACCTGAACAAAACTGCATGCGAGATTTGGAGTGCTTTTAACAAAGTTCACTTTTGACCAAAAACACCCTTTTTCTACCGAGCTTTTCAAATGTAATAAAGATTTTAACCAAAGAGTGCGACCTTGTGATTGCAAATTTATATTACTAACACTAATCGTAGATTGAAGAGTGTGTTTGAGTTTTGGTAGGTTTGGTATGCTAAAAAAATAAAAATTCTAGGAACAGCATTCTGTGCCTGAGCTGTAAGGTAGACGTAAAATTGGCCTCCCTCCAGCAGGAGTAAAAACAAATGAACTAATCGCAAAGCACGTGCATACGAGAGGGTTGTTCTTGTTTATACATGTATTACGTAATATCAGTTACCACCGGTCAGTAAAATACACGGACTGCAATTGGTATGCTGCATTTAGTCTGCAGTCCACGTTTTATACCCGAGTCCGTGTTTTATACCCAGTCCATAATCCGCAGTCCCTACTTTATGCCGACCATGTAAATCGACACAAACAATGCCTGTTCCGTTGGTATGTGAGACAACGTTCGTTTATTACCAAAACTAGACAATTATTCTGTTTACGAACACAAATTTGAATAGCCTTGGCTTTGGGGGAACAGATACAGGGCATTTTCACTTCCGAAACAATGAAATGGAGGACATGTTGGTGTACCAAAGCAATCCTGTGGGAGTTGAACTATTTTCGAATGTAAACACTTTCATTGGGTTTATGCTACATAATTTGTGCTCAGAAATCTAAGCCAGCGAAGTGAAACTACACATTTCCTCCTTTGATTTAATCCGCAGAAAGCAGCGTTGGGTTTGGTCGAAGAGAAGAGGGTAAACAACACGCAGCTAAACTTTAGACTTTCTAAAAGTCCTTTCCAATAATTCATCCCTGGCCTGTTGGTTTCGCTGTTGGAAAGGACTTTTCCCACTTGCAGCGTGCCAAATTTTACTGGTGGATTTTTCCACCGGTGACGTAAATACAACTTAACCAATGAAAAAACAAGTACTGACTATATGTCATGACGTCGTGCGCGATCAACGACACAACTCGCAGAGCAAATGTTTGCTGAGTTCAAGTATTATGAAAATCTTTTTCATTCAGCTTTTGTCCTCGGATATGTTTAAGGATATGAAGTTTATGGAAGCAATTGAATATGGTCTATCAAACTTAATTTCAAGTCTTTGAAAGAAGGACAGCGGGGAAAAGCAGTGGAAGGCTATTTATCCGACCAATACGTGTTTGTTTACTTTATACGCGGACACAATCTGAGCTCATGCATGATCCAGATCGTTTGGAGAATTAGGTTTGGACCTTTCCAAGAACAGAGCCGTTCCTGCAGTTTGCGTAATGCATCAGTCAATTCCCGGAGTGCCCATCCCCCCCGGGCAACCGCGGGGCATTTGCTCACATTGTCAGTCCTGGGGGTGGGGCATCTGTAATTTTATCGCGGCCCGGGGGCTGGGTATTTGTGCACCCCGGGGCGACCCCCGGGCATTTGACACACATGTTTTCGAAAGTGCCATGGATGGCATTTGCCCTCTTTCTTTGTCCCCACCCCGGCACATTTCGACAGCTTATGCGTCCCCACCCCYGGGAATTTGCCCATTTATTTACAAAAAATGCCGGGGGTTAGCCGGGGGGGGGGGGATGGGCACTGCTGGAATTGACTGACGCATAATTGTTGCACTTTTAGTTGATTTAATGAATGACCAAGTTTCTTCTCTACAAAGAAAGGGCATTGCAGCAAATTTGCATCGGCCGTTTCACCAACTTTACCGCGTTGAAAGCAGTCACCAATCAATGCAGGACTTTTGGGAATAGCGCTTTTATTCTCTGCTGTCCGTTGCGACTTCAATTCTCAACGTTATTTATGCGTCAGTCAATTCCAGCAGTGCCCATCCCCCCCGGCTAACCCCCGGGGCATTAGCATTTTTTTTTTTAAATAAATGGGCAAATTCCCTGGGGTGGGGACACAAAAGCTGTCTAAATGCCCTGGGTTGCGGACGAAGAAAGAAGGCAAATGCCCCGCCCCGGGGATCTTCGCCTTCCAACACCTCTACAGTTTTTTTATTAATCAGTGAATAAAACGTTCAACTGTTCAGTATTTTAACGCAACAGTAAGACTTCAAGGACAACAGTACGCGTTAGTTGATTCTGATTATATTTATTTCTTCATATTTGTTTTTAACAGTTTGCTAGTGGATAACTGGGATCGTGGCGGATTTGCCTCTAGCTGCGAGCGATAATAGGTGTCTGTTTTCACAGGCTACTTTTTCTGTGAAGAATCAAGACATTTTAAATGATGATACATTGCATTTTAAGCTCGCAAGATCTGTCTTGAAGATCGCATGACTGAATTCGCAAACTTTAAGTATTTTAACTCCACTTTCATGAATTTAAAAAATACTAGGCTAATTTTGAATGCGAAATGCAAAATAGTTGTGTTCACGTCAGTGATTGTTTGTGATAAACAAAATATAGTTCACCTTGTCACGTATATTTATATGCTTACAAGTAACGAAGAAATATCTAAAATTGAGAAAACACACCTTTAAAACATCTACAAGTTTCTATAGTCCCTGACGGACAGGTCATTGTTTGACAAATGCCTCGTCTTTCCCGATGAACTCATCCATGGCACTTTCGAAAACACGTGTGTCAAATGCCCGGGGGTTGCCCCGGGATACGCAAATGCCCAGCCCCCGGGCTGCGATAAAATTGCAGATGCCCCACCCCCGGGACTGACAATGTGAGCAAATGCCCTGCGGTTGCCTGGGGGGGGATGGGTATTGCTGGAATTGACTGATGCATTAATCAAGAGAGCTTTACAGAATTAAAATTCTCCCCGACTAATTCCGTCTTCTTTAGTTAATTCGGATCCTTGTGGGTACAAGGTAGATCTACATAAGTTTATAGCATTTGTCAAGCAGCTCTCTGGTCGATTGCTGGTTAATCTAGACTAAAACAAATAATTTCCGATCGGTTTAAACACGGTTTTGTCTTTTCAGAAGGTGTTACTCAATGGAGCAGCTTTTGCCATTTGTCTGCTGGCTACTACCCTGGTCCCAGAGATTTTTCTTGATTTTTCTTCTTTTCTTGAAGCGGCAAACACGAACACGAGCGGCGAACACGAGTTGCCACTTCGCGACTCGTGTTTTCACTGCTTCGTGGCTCTCTCGCAGCTCTCTCATGCGGAGAAAAATCAAGAAAAACCTCTGGGACCAGGGTAGCTGGCTACATAGTGCACTGTACACAAATAAATTCATTTGAGTTAGGGAACAGTACTCGTAAACATTTTAGCTCTTTTTGATGGACATCATTTCCTGCTTTCGCGATGATCGTGCGCGGAGCACATGAAAAGTGAAAAATGTCAATCATGTTTTTCGTGCCAAAAATTTACGCTCTGATTCACATTCCTGCAAGTGAAACAAGTCGACCTCTCGCGACTTACGTCGCTCGATTTCGCTCAAGGGAGATAAACAAGTTAAGGATTAAGAAAAGGTCGACTTGTGGCAAGTCTACTAAACTACAGCTTTCTGTTCATACGAAAAGTTGTACACATTTTGTGAAGACATGTCTGCAAGGTTTCTAAATGCCATTAACACTGACTTCGAACTTTAAATAAACAACTTATCCACTACAGTCCACAATAAGCTGCCTGGACACTCGAAAGTCCGCAATATTGCACAACACTCGAAAGTAAGCACATGGACTAACATGGAGATGACGTCATTCGCCCCTGAACAATTTTTTTTTGTCATTATGGGATTAGAACTGTGTTCTATCAAATGCAAAAACAAATCTATC